TCGCGTCCTGGCCTCCGGGATTGGGTGGGGCCTACCTGGCTCTTTGCATGCTTTTCGGCTGGGAATCGCGGTGGTATGAGTCCAGCCCACACTGGGACCCAGGAGCGCTGCAGCTCCCGGAGAACTCGCTGCCTGGGCGCAAGGCGCGGGTGTAATTTCATCTTTTCGTGGTTCAGTTTACATCTTTTGAGACATAAACATTTTCATAAGTTATCCATTGCTGTTGTTATACTTAAAGTTTAAGAATAATTTGGGAAACTTTCAAAAGTAGAGATTCATCTGTACTTTTATATTTGTATAAGGATGCCTGAAAACATTTACTTTTATTAAAGCTCCTTAGGTAACTCGAAAAAGTAATTGAGTCTGAGAACCAGTGGTCTACGCAAGCAGTTGATTTCATTGAACTTTTTAAATTGCTTAGATCATCCTACAATATCTGAATGATACTCTATGACTATTTGTAGTATTTTATGAAGTACTCCACAATCATTAGGTATCAGTGTTTTAGATGTCAATGTTTTAAAAAGTAAGTGTATTCTAGAGTTTTTTCATTAGTAAAATCAAGTTATTTATATCATACTGTATGTAAAAGTACTGTTTCTTGTTACCATTCAGTGAGATTAGAAAAGAAATTTATAGTTACTATATCATAGGACAGCTGAAAGGGTGTTAGCATGCTTTTAAATTTTAGACATAAGTATAAAAATTGTTCAGTTGCCATTTTATGTACAGTATTTTTAGTGGCATCTAGTTGATGAAGTCTATGTTGTCACTATAGTTTTTTTAAGTCTTAAGAAAGAAATCTTCATTTTACAATCTACTTTACAATAGGGTGTTGGTATGTGCAGTACTCTATTTAAATTTATATTAGACCAGTGCACTAATTCTCATTAAACTTACCTGGCAAGAATATGGAATATGGAGTGTGTGTGAGTGTGTGTGTGTGTATGTGAGAGAGAGAGAGAGAAAGAGAGTAAATAATGAGGTGGAAATGCTTGGCAGTATTTCTCAAAATATTGTTTCCCAAAGTAACTAACATTAGTAGTTTTAATTTGAAAAGTGAGGTCAGTGATCTCAATTCTTGAAAGCACTGGGATGGACAGTTGCATAGGTAGGGAATCAAGTGCTGTCTCAGATTTGCTATATTCATTGTGATTGCTCAAGACAAAGGCACAGTATGAAAACTGTCCAAACTTTCTTTGACCATAGACCCTTCTAATGCTGAGCATCTTATGAGACCAATACAGTACTAATTTGTAAAGCAATAATTTAAGCAAAAAGTGCTGTACAAAAAACAACAATTGTGTTATCACTACAGTTCATATATGAGGGAAAAAGAAGAGCAATTGAAGAGAGAACAAACAAATGCACACTCAGTGGGTAAATTTATGAAGCATGATGCAAGTGATGTTCAAGAAGATTCTGCAACTGAAGACAAGTTCTACAGCCTGGACGAACTGCATATTCTGGACATGATAGAGCAGGTGAGCGTGACTGCAGAACACACATTCCTGCCTTTTTCTTCAGGAACAGTTGCTACTTTGTTTTTCTCAGTCTTAACAGTATAAGTTTTTGAAAAGCCCAATGGTTTATGCTATTGTTGGTAGAAAAAAACAGGAAGGAAGGTATGGAGGGATTGGTGAAGGGAAAAAAACCCCTGGGGACTATGAACTTTTCACATCAGCTCTCACACCATCTCCTGATTTTAACTACTGGGCGAAAACGATTGCAACTGCATTCTTTGCAAAAGGCTTTTGAGCACCACAAGAAAAACAAACGCACAAAAAAAGAATGATCATATCCCACTGGGTAAAATATCATGAGAAAAGTAGTTCTGTGAAACAAAGCTACTTTTATTTTTTATTTAATCTGGTTACTTTGAAATGTCTATAAAATATTAACATACAACAGCAGTTTTTCTGGTTCTTTTTCTGATAGTCATTGCTTGAAAGGATGTACGTATATGTGAACAGGCATATGAATAATATTTAAGTGCTCAACAGAGCATTTAATTAAAGTAAATAAAAGAATTAAATCAAAACTTCTTTAATTGACTCATGAGCAGTCAGTGATAACCTGTTCTGGATTGAACTATAATAGTATGTATTATGTAGAAATGTACTAAGAGTACAAAGACTGTAGTTAGTACACATGTCCATGCTTGACAGTACAACATGCATATAATTGTAGGATATGTACATTTTGGCTGAAATTATGACCACTGATTTTTATTCAGTAGCCAGGAGAACTATAAGAACTCAAAATCAGAATTAAAGTGTCACACATAATTTCAAAGAATGTTTATTTAACTTAAAACCATTCAGTACCTACTTGGGATCAAGAACTAGGCTAAGACATGGTGCCTACTTTCACAGTTGTTTACAATCTGCTGGAACAGTTGAACAGTGAAGTCAAATATATAATGCAGTCTGTCTATGTGACCTTAGGCAATTACTCATTTTATCATTTTCAAATGGGAATAATGAGTACTACCTCATATGGTTCTTATACTAAAAGCATTATGAAGAAAATGCTTTAAAATAGGAAGCATGCAGGTAGTGTTATGCAATCTTAGCACCAGAAATGAAGTGCTTTGCTTAGTGAATGCTGTAACTGGGGGAAAGTCGGCTTATCTAATTAGAGAAGTAATGTTTGAGTGGAGATAGAAAGCATTAGTAGGAGTTAGCTTTAAATCCTCTACGGTAGCTAATATATTACTGTTTTTAAGAGAAAAATGAGATGTGCATGTTTTGTTTGCTTAATAGGGCTCAGCTGGTAAGGTCACAGCGGGCTACGGAGAAACTGAAAAGGACAGGCTTACTTGTCAGCAGCAGCTTTATAAACTGCACCTTCAGTGTGAGGTAAGTTCTTCTGCCGTTAGGTGTCAGGGAAGTAAGAAGTGTTTCAGATATTATATTTAAAAGAATTTCCGTTTTTAAAGGAACCCAGTTTGTTTGGTGTTTGTTGTAGTTTCTGTCCTGATTTGAACAAAAATAACTATGAAATATTTTACATTGATCAGGATTTCAAAAAGCAGCTGAAAACAGTGACATTTCGGTGGCAAGAAAATCAAATGCAAATTAAAAAGAAAGAAAAAATAATCGCCTCTCTTAACCAACAAGTGGCTTTTGGAGTCAATAAAGTTTCCAAGTAAGTGCAAAATTTTTGAAAAAGGGACAGTTCTGGGTTTGCCTTGTCTGTTGTGTATAAAAGATGATCTCTGTGTGGCCACTGGGTGGCAGTGCTACTGCACAGTAAGAGCTCCAGAGCGTTTGATTTGCTTGAAAACCATGTGCATTTGTGCTTTGCCTTCTGCATTGAGAAGAGCGCAACTGCTCAGTCTCGATATATTTCAGGCTTTTCATGTATTGCCCAAACAAGTGTGAAGATAATTGAATTACATGAAAAGGATGATTAACTTTTAGGTCATGACTCTAATTTGTAAAAATAGAATCAATGTTCATCTGTTTCTTTATAGCATATAAGTACATTTTTCAAAGACACCCATAGAATCAGTTGAGTGTTTTTTATTCTTTATATTGGTCTGCCAGAGTATTTGTGTTCTAACCCTGAGAGAGAGAATACAAATCAATGCAAGGAGATTCTTCCCGTCTCCACTGATCTCTCTTCTCTTATCACCTTCAGCATTAAATGCCAAAAACCAAAATTCTGACTAACTTCACAGGGGAAAATGGGTGACCTGCTTTAATTCTTTTATGCTAATCACTTCCTCAAATGTATGTCATTTGAAATAGAGCATAGTTCTGCAGCATCTGTTAATAAACAGTGCTATTATATATTCCTGAAATTTAATTTAAAATCTGCTACAGCTTCTAGGGTAGTAATAGGAGGAACAGGGCAAAAACTAGAGAATGTTGTCTATTAAAGAGTTCAGGATATATCATACAAAATGGGACAAGTACTTGGCAGCCATTTACGCTTTAAATTTTCTCCCATGTATCTCAAACATGACAAGATTTTTACAAAAAACTACGCCATAGCCTTGGCAATACAATTTCAGTTTCAGACACCTTCAGCCTTGTTCCTACTACTCAGTTAGAGAGATCCCCTAAGATCAGAAGGAAGTGAAGCCCTAAGGAAATGCACAGACTAAGATGGTTGCAGCTACTTATTTTGCTTCTCTGTATTTCAGGATTCAAAACTTTTTCTTTTAGCCTGGTAGGTGTTGATTGATCCACACATATGTCATGTAGCATCAGAGATCAGAAAAGTAATTCTGTCATTGTGAAGGAGCTGCCTTTCTCCTTTGCTATCTGAGGATAGCCCTCCTCAGCCCTGAGCGCTGGTTCATGTACCCTTACATACGTGTGTCTTCACACAAGCAGCATTCGGTAGTGAATAGCCAGCCGTAAGACATTTATCAAGCCTTTAACACCATGAGCCTTTTGGGTGACATTTTGGGTCCTGGCCGTAACATATGAGAATTAAAATTACATATAAAAGGGACTATTGGGTTCACCAAGATATAGGGGCCCCATCCTCACAACTCCTTGTTCTTATAGCTTTAACGCCCTAGACATGATACAACAAATAAACGCAGGAACACTGCAGAAGGCAGAAGACTGGCCCAGCATTCTCAACATGTAAGGCCACATCAAGCGCTCGGTGTTGATTTTGTCAGTGAGTTTGGGCACTGAAATGCAGGAGGAAGAAAACACGGTGTCTAGGAACACTGGGATTTGGGGAATGAAACAGCAGTGAGTTTACTGGTTGCCTTGCACATATATCCCAAACAGGGCCCTGAAGAAGCCTCTACACTGGGCCTGACAGTAAGCACAGGGGAAAAATAATCCAAAAAAAAAGACTGTTCCCTCTAGCCAAAGAATCAGGAAAAGGAAAGTGTAACAACAGAAAACCTGTTTGAGTACCCACCCTACTCTAGCCAAACACCAGTGGGCCCCACACCATCCCTAGGGAGTAGTATGCTCTGATTCACACACCTGCAGAAACAGGACACAATAATTTATTCCCCTGGTAATGTATTTTCAGAAGGACCAAGAAGGCAGCTGTTGTTGTTGTTGTTGTTATTTTGGTTTAGAGTCTTGAATGCAGGCAGCTGATTTTCCAGTCCCCACCAGGCAGCAGAGGGTAATTCCTGTATTTTCTGTGCTAGTATGGTCCACCTGGCAACTGAGCCTCTACCTCTACCCAGCAAAAGCGGGACTTAACAAGTTAGTGCCAGGCAGAATTAGTGAATACTAGGCTTCATTCCTATTATATGGCCCTGGTGGAGAGCTAAATCTTTGCTCTGGGACTAACTGGCCTTCCACTTCCTCCTTTCCTTGCCGATGCCAGAGGAGCAAACTTCTGCCTCTACTCTGAAGTAGCGAGAACAAAAAATAAGAGCAAAGAAACAGTCCTTTGCTTTCTCCTTTCCTGGTGTCAGCAGGGCCTAACAGGGAGTTCATCTTATGCTCCACTTGTAGGCAAAAGGCATTGTGAGTTAGTGTGACGCACTCCTCTGCGGGAACTTCCACACTTTTCAACTCCATGCATTGTGTATCAGAACTCACTTTTGCTGAGATGTTGTTGATAGGGCCCAGCGTAAAGCTGAGCATACATACCGCTGGACCCTTACATACCACAGCAGGGTTGTCAGTTAAAAATACAAAACTAAAATAGAACCCAGAGTCATCTAAAATATGTAGGCCACAGCAGAAAACACTCGTCATACCAAGTGCCAAGGAAATCACAATATGAAGAAGATCAACAAATGATATTAAAATGATTCAGATCATTTTATATGAATGAATTATTTAACTGTAAAGCAACATCATAAAAATGCTTCAGTGAAATTAAATTTGAGAAAATGAAGATCTATAAAATCTCAGGTTATAATAAATAGTAAGTTGTAATAAAGAGTGGAAGTCATAAAACTAGAAAATATAACACTTAAAATTTAAAACTGTGGAGTGTACAGATGATAGATTAAATCAGTGGATTTAAAGACAGGTGAATAGAATTTATTCAGTCTGAAGGTCAAAGAGATAACAGGTTAGAGGGAAAAGACCTTGAAAAGACAGCCTGTTAGGGACCTGTGGGACAATAACAAAAGTGCCAAGTTCTTAGACTTCTAGGAGGAGAGTACAAAGAAAGAGTGTACACTGAAAAAGAGTGCTCAAAGGGATGACTACAAATTGTCCAGGTTTATAAAATAGATACATTTACAAATGTAAGGGGCTAATTGAACCCTAACTTGTAAAAACTAAAGAAATTCTTGCCAATACACATTATAACTAAATTTCTGAAGGCTAAAGACAAAGGAAAACCTTGAAAATAAAAGAGAAATACAGTAGTCCCTCTTACCCAAAGGATACATTCCAAGACCCCCAGTGGCTACCCAAAATTGCAGATAGTACTGATCCCTATATGTACTGATTTTTCTAATAAATATACACGTATGATAAAATCTAATTTATAAACCAGGCACAGTAAGATATTAATAATAACAATTAATAAAATAGAACAGTGATGACAGTTATACTGCAGTATAATTGCCAGCTTGACTATGATATTGTGGAGTCACTATTAGGTAGAATAAGGGTTACTGGAACACAGGCATTATGGTGCAAGAGCAGTTGATCTGATAACCTAATTAGCTACAAAGTAACTAACGATGGGTAGTATACATTGTGTGGGTACACTAGACAAAGGGATGATTTGCCCATGTCCCATACAGGACAGAACAGGAAAGCACAGATTTCATCATGCTATTCAGAATGGTGGTATAATATGAAGCTTATGCATTGTTTATTTCTGGAGTTTCCACTTAATAGTTTCATATTAACTAAAACTTCTATGTGTCGAACAGTCTGAACTTATCAGACTTGAGAAATATAATTTTGATATAAATTCCTTCATATTGTGGTGGAACACTTTGCCTACCATGTGTATGGCCCCGGGTCCAATCTCTAGTAACAGAAAAAATTTTTTTTTTAGTTTATAATGTTTAATTAGTATTTTTATTTGCACACAGCTTAACTTTTATATTTAAGGTCTAATTTCTTTCAGACCTCTGATCTTTGATACTTTGCATGACTTGAGATATATCTTTAAGGACATTAAAGTTCTTAATTCCACAACAGACTTAGAAAAATCAAGATACCATCTCTGTTTTCTAGCACACTAAAGTAGAAAGAGCTGAAGTCAGTTTTTCAAGTCACTGAGCTGGGACACATGATAACATTTCTCTCTAGCTTTCTAGTTTACTGAATTGGAATTTAGTTTCCCTTTCTTTGAGTAGTCAGTAAAATAGGTAAATTTCAAAAGGAACAAGTATAGGAATCAAGTTCATCTTTTCAGCCTCACGATTTATTGTCCAGATTACAGATAGTTGATTCCATCCTCAGTTGCCGATAGGACTGTTCTGGCTTAATGAGAAATGATTTCTAACATGTATGACCTGTTTTCTCATTTCCTTAGATTACAACGTCAAGTCCATGCTAAAGATAATGAAATCAAGAACCTTAAAGAACAGCTTTCCATGAAAAGGTACAAACAAACTTAGCCTTTTAGGAGGCAAGAAGGGTAAATATAACCTCTCTGAAACTTTGTATTTCACTGGCTAGGGAAGCCTTACAATGTGTTATCCTCACTGGGCACTTTTGAGCGTGCTACTGAGTAATAACAAGAATTACACTGGGATAATAGGTATAAACTGAAAGTGTCCCAGGCAAATTGAGAGGTATGGTCACCTTCATTCTAATCCTGGAATTTGCTCAGAAATTAAAACAGCAGAGTTACGGTCCCACAACAAACTACTGCCAGAACTAGAACTTGAGGGTTCCTATTTCTTTACTCCAATCAGTACTACTAGGTGTGACTACTTTCTGAAACTGGGTTTTATTCTGATTTACCTATTGTTTGCTGTGAGTAATTTTTTATAACAACTTTTTTGAGATCTAACTTATGTACAGAAAATGTACCTAGTTAAAGTGTATGGAAGTATCCAGCCATCAGCACTACTTATTTTTGGAACATATTTTTACCCTGTATGCTGTAGCATGTATCAGTACTCATTCATTTTTATGGATAAGTAATATTTTGTTATTTCATAGAACACATTTCATCTTTTTATCAGTTTGTTAGACATTTAATTTTTTCCATGCTTTTGGCCTATTACGAGTAAAGTTATCATGAATATTTATTTATACAGCTTTTTGTAAATGCTTCTCTATCTTTTGTATATATAACAAGAAATTTGATATTCTTCTGTTATATCTGGGTTGTGTTTTCATTTTTTGTGATGTTATTTAGAACACAAATGTTTTTTGATGAAGTCCCTTTTATTTTCTTTTATGCAAATTTTGCACAGTATTTAATGACATAATATTCCCTCTAGTATTAATGTATCTCTTTGGGTATTTTATGATTTTTTTCTCCTTAATAGGCTTTGGTCCCAGTGATACTCGTAATACAGTATTATTAAGCTTCTTGTCAGTATTAGTTCCTCAAACATCTGGCTGTTTCTAATAATAAGACATTGAAGGTGATTTTTATGACAGTCTTTATTGTAATGTATTTTCAATTATCAGTTGTCATTAAAGACAGAATTTGGTTCATATGCTAGAGAGTTCTGGGACTCAAGTGTAGGAAGCTGAGCAAGGATGTGACGAGAACAAAAACCTCACTGGTTCATCGGTGTCACTTTCCATTATTTCGTGCATAAAGCATGTCCTTAGCCACTGTTGCTCTCCCTTCCCTCTGAAGCTGTAGGATTGTGCTCTATTCTGAGATTTAAAATGAGAGCACTGACATAACCAATAAAAAATATTTTGACATTTGACTTTATGACAAAGATAATGAAAACCTATGCGGTTGCTATTGTTTGGATGCAAAAAGGCTTACAGAAAGTTTATTTTATATAAAATCTATTTTAGAAGATAGTAACTAGCATTTGTTTAGTACTTATGTATCAAGGAAAAGAGCTGTATATTGTCTGAATGAATTTTCACAACTCTTTTTAAAGATAACACAACTTTCTACACTTTTACATGTGAGGGAACTGAGGGATAGGGCAGTAACTTGCTGTCTTAGTTTGAGCTGCAGGAACTAACATGGACTAGGTAGCTTATGTACAACAGAAATGTGTTTCCTTGAAACTACAAAGTTCAGATCAAGGTGCCAGCCAGTTTGGTATCTGGTAAGTATCCCCTTCTTCATAATACGATGAGAAAGGTTGCCCTGTTGCAGTGTTGCTTACTCTTTCGTGATCATATATTTCAGATCTCAGTGGGAGATGGAGAAGCATAATCTGGAAAGCACAATTAAAACCTCCTTAAATAAGCTGAATGCAGAAACCAGCAGAGCCTTAACAGCTGAGGTAAAAAAATAAGTTGGGGATGGGGTTAGGGAAGGAAGTTTTAGTTTTGTACTAGTACATTAACAAATTGAAAAAAACACTGATGTTTAAATTAACAAAAATAAAGTCTCTGAGAACAAGCCAAGAAAACATACCTCAGACTCTTGTGCAATTTTTTTTGCTTATTAGCATATTGTGTATAAATACTTCAGTGTTTATGATCTTGTATTGTTTTCCTTCAATGACTCCAAGAAATTGATTGTTGCCCTATGTCGAGCAGATGTACACACCTTGAAAATTTTCTCATGAAGCAAGGTCACTAAGCCAAACTTTCAAAGATTAACATTTCATTGCTGCTATAATCTTTTGCTATTTCCTATATTAGATCTTCCATCAATACATGTACATCATGTAACTCAATGTGAAAAACCAACTTAGTTTCCAGACCTCTAGAAAGTAACCCTGTTTCTTCTATGCTAGTTTAGAGCACCACACAGGTAGAGTTCCCCCCAAAAAATGATGTATGTTTGTATATAATTTGTATTTATAGATAACAAATGATATAAAACAAAATTCATGTTTTTAGAAAATCTGTGATATTAAAAGCATTGTAAACCTTCTCATCTGTGTCACTGGTAAGTTTTGTTCTCTAGCAGAATAGTTGAATTCCAGAATTCAGTGACCAATGACTGATATATGAATGAAAAATCCATAGAAATAGTTTGGAAGTACTAGCATTAACAAAAAAAAATGCCCACATTACCTTAAAAGCTCCTTTGCATTCTTTGTGTTTTATTGCTTTTTTGTTCAAGTATCTTTCTGCTAGATTATTAATGTCAGAGAACTCTCTAACACTTAATGCTGACTGGTGGTATAATTTTTAGTGATTGAGTGATTAGTAGTAAAAAAGAATCCAAAGGCTAAGTGATTGTACATCAGTAATGGATTTGGAAAAGATTCCTGATATAGGAGAAATTAATATTACACTAGGTGATTTCCAAGGCCCATTTGGGCTATACTGTATCTTTCTATGTGTTCTGAATTTCTGACTCTTCATCAAGAGAAAAATAATGGATATCAGGACTTCTTTAGCTCATTCTCAAACTTTGCTGCATATTAGTTTATTAGCTTCTGAAAGCTACCGGTATTAAAATTGTAATGCACTGGCTATACCCATTTTCAATTAAATTAAAATCTGTACGACCAAGATATCAATTTTTTTACATTTTTATATAATTGCAATATGTGTATAAGTTTGAAAAAGAGTGTTCTAAAATGTTAACTGATCCAGTGACTACTGAATATGAGAATTAGAATTGTGAAATTATATTGATTGAAAAGCTTTCATAATATATTTTTAATAGTCAAAATTCTAGATGTTGGGACAGATTGAAAAGTCATTTTGAATATACTTGACATATAACAACTTAAAATATACTTGGGAAGAAAATGTTCACTTACAGGAACACTTTTAACTTCTTTCTCTTTCTCAAAAATCTGCAGGTGTATTTCTTACAGTGTCGTAGAGATTTTGCATTGCTTCATCTAGAGCAGACTGAAAAAGAGTGTCTCAGTCAGCTTGCTAGGGTGACTCACATGGCAGCAAGGTAATGTCTCCCACATCCTTAATGCATATTGATCTTGAGATTCGCAAATACCAACAAGGCTGAACCTATCCCATGATGTGTTTACGTATAGCACAACATAATCCTTCACTGAAGAAGCCCCCTTTTGTTTACATCAGAAGTTATTTGAGTCATTTTATGTTTGTACCTTGCTGCTTTTGATGAAGTGTGAGAAGCAGTGAGTACAGCAGTAGCTGCTGAAGGACTTTTCCCTTCTTCCACAGTGAAATATATCACGAGTCTCAGTGAGGGACATGTGCAAAGACCACACATTGACAAACAAAGGTGAATTCTTACTGGAAATTGTTTTCTAAATGTTTTTCCTTCTAATGCTTGATTGAATTACTTTTGGAATACATTAAGGGAAAAACCATTAGTGTAGCCTGTGACAACATGTTAAAGGCCATTCCCTACTATGCTGTAGGAGTAATTTTCAAATTTTGGACTAGTAGCATGAAATTTTCCATATATTTGTAATCTAAAATGCTCTGCCTTCAAAACTGAAAACAAACTAGAATCTCAGGGACCAAGGAATCATTATTTTTTAATGATTGTCATTTTAATGATTATTATTGTCCTTTTAATTCTGAAGAATCAGAATATGATGTTTAACAAGACTCCCAGCATGTATAGATACACATTGAAGTTAAGGAAGTGCCGTTGGAAGTGGTGACTCTTTACTTGCTAGGAGGAGACAGGAAGTTGTTTAAAGTAGAATATTAAGCTTCTTTCTATGAGATGATCTTAAGTAATAACTTTTTCTGATCTTCTAAAATTCTTAAACTTATATAGTATTATAGCAGATTGACCTTTCGAAAAGACCTTTTGACCCCATAAAGTCTTTTCTTGAAACAGTAGATCCTGAAGGCCTCAAAGTTGTTCATACCTTGATTATGTGTTGGACATGGCTTGATCAGTCTGCTGTGTGCATGCAGCTTTTGCATTGTACAGAGGGAACAGTCTCACTTGCCCTCACACAGGAAGTGCTTGTTTCTAGTCTGCTTTTCCAGAGGCAGGATCTTTGCACAAATCACAGCAGAACCAGATAGGCCAACTGTGGCTCTTTTATGTTAGAGTTAATATAAAAATAATCCAAGAACTACTTCCAAGATTGGGCAGCATTTTTGAGGCTGCCGCCTGCATTGGATGCCTAAGGGAATTTTCTCCCTTTGACTTTCTCTGCTTCCCTACTGCATTGGAGATGTTCCTATGAAATACGTATATATTCCTATGAGATAGACTTTCCTATGAGAGAGAGACACAGAGACAGACAGAGAGACAAACAGAGACAGAGAAAGAGACAGAGAGAGACAGGGAGACAGGGAGACAGGGAGACGGAGAACTACCAAGATTGATACTAAGACAGAAAAAAATTTTAGTATTCTGGAAGCCTAAATTGTATGGTGTTTTTGAAAAAAAGAATTCCTATGTATTACTGGGTTTTGTTATTATTTTTATTAACAATCCCTACCACACATCTTTGACCCCATTTGAGTTCTTTGTTGCTGATAGAAGTAATTTTATTTTTTTGTTGTATTTGTATGTATGCTAGGGAACATAATGGAAAATTTTGGAAACTTATGTATATTGTGAAAAGAAGAGCTTATTTTGTATCTCCTTTTCCTACACTAGCAACCTAGAGTCACTTCAGTTAAAGGCTGCGGTAGACAGTTGGAATGCTATTGTGGCGGATGTTAGAAACAAGATTGCATTCCTCAGGGTAAGTCTTGAAGTAAATTGAGAGAAAATGGGCTGAATGTTGTGGGTAGGATTTAATTAAAGGAAGCATCTAGCAATAAAAGCAATTAGGAAAGCCTAAGGAGGAACATGTTTTATTCATTTCAGTTATCAAAGTTTATGCCGCCAATTTGAAGACTTTCATGTAATTGATGGTAGATAGCACCCTAGACTCACACAAGTGACCATTTAGATCTGTGGTCCATGAAATGGTGAACTCAAGTATTGTGCTTCATCTAGCTCTCCTAGAATTCCAAAACTAACTCCTCATAATCAAAAATGTCGTCTCTAGTCTGAATAACAATGTGTTTACAGAATTAAAAGGAAGATCGATTAGTCTTGTGTTAATTTTCAGCCTTAACTTTTTATGTAATTATTCCATAATGCAGAGAAATTCGTAATTATTGGTTCAGTTTAATCAGGACCATACTAAGGTAATCGAGAAAGGCGACCCACTGGTTTATTTACTTGGCTTCAGGATCTTTTTATATATAATATTACTATGTAATTGTTTTGCAACTCCATAACATTACCTACAAAAAAGCAATACTCTGTTGTGAAGAGCTGCCTCAAAATACTGCAGATTTATCCAACTTTTTCCTTGGTGGTTTTGACTATTTCTCCCCAGTCCCTTTTTTACTCTTTAGCCATCTCTAGGATTTGTTTCATTTATTTAAGTTTCAGTCTCCTTAATTTTTTCCAAGCATGTGTCTTCTGTGGGAAATTTTCTAAATGTTTTGTTTTCTAGGACTTTCGTTTCTAGTTCTTGTGTGTTATTTAGTATAGTAAAGTAAAATAGGCACAGTGTCAGAAATGAAAATATGGCGTTCAACTTTCAGGAGTTTTTGGCAAAATCATGTCTCAAGAAACTGTGAATTATATGTCACTGTTTCTTGTTGATCAACCAACACTTTTAAAAAATACAGATATTTATATGTGTAGCTACCAGTCTATCTCAGTAAGTTGAGTGCCACTGTTCTATGTTGTATTATTTAAAACAACATGAAGTATTCCTATGTATTGGTTTTTTTTTTAAAGTTGATTGTGCTCTAAGATGTTTTTTCTCTTCTATCAGGCACAGTACAATGAACAGATTAACAAGGTGAAGCAAGGATTTCCCTTGAGTAGCTTGCCCCCTGTCCAGCTTCCTCCACCCCCGCCCAGTCCTGAGATACTGGTAAGAAACCTGACGGTTTAGAAAATTGTCGTCTTTGTTTTAATAATATGATAAGGCTTTAAAATACTGACTGTGCAATGTGTTTCACCTGTATTCTCAGTGGAATAGGCACAGGTTGTGAGTAGCAGCTGCAGTCGTATCTTTATCTGTGTCTTGGTTACTTTTCTCTCGTTGCTGGGACAAAATACCTGACGCCCAAAATTAAGGAAGGAAAGGTTTATTTCGCTTACAGTTTGTGGAGGTTTCAGTCCGTACTTGGCAGATTATAAGGCAGACTGGCACATGGCAGAGGGCTACAGCTCAGGGTGGCAGACAACAGCAAAAGCAACACACACACCAGGGCGGAATGGCCTCAAGCACTCTCCTCCTCTCCCTTACATATGCAAACTATCCACCCCAGGGCAGGTGCAGCTCTCACACCCATCAAACTCTAAAAGCCTGCCCCATGGCCGCTTGAGGCTTTGGGGGAACACACAGATTCAAACCATAACAATCTGCTAACATCATTAGCAGACGGGAGTCACCAGGTGATATAATTCATGGCTGAATCCACTGAGGCTGATATAGTAGCTTTGTCGCTGGGTTTTAGTGATGCATTTGATATCTAAGGAGTAGGATTCCTAATTTATGTTCTTAATCCAACCTACATTGTAGAAGATGGCAGAACACTTAGAACTCCCTCTACCCTCATGTTATTCCCACTGTGTAACCGAAACGGTGCAGCATAGCATCCTAGAAGGCACTTCCTGGGGACTTAGTCCCCTGCACCTCACACTTAGACTTTCCTTTTTCTTTTAATTCTAGTCTATTTTCAACAGTAAGGACAGCTTCCACTTACTCTCTTTTTCTAATCTCTACTGGTCCCTAATAAAGATTAGATATACCGGTCTCTGTTCTTATGGGAAACATAGTGTCTTAACCCAAGTAACTTAATACAAGCTTCCAAGAGAACTTTTAGAAGGACACTATTAGGTGAGATTTCTTTTTTTGCTCATGGCAGAGCTGAATGTTGAAAAAGGAAGGTATAAGATATTTGGGAGCAGGTGAGTTTTGGTATTAGCACTCCCGCTTGTAGTAGAACTCTGGAAATGTTTTTTTTACTCATGGTTGAGTATAACAAAGGATTTAAAAATTTTGTGAACTGCATGGAGTTACACTGTGTGTATTTCAGAAGCAAAATTCAGGGCTAAAAGAGTTATGTGAGTTTTAGTTTAGAATAAAAGTACTGCATTTTATAATTTTGGTCACTTCAGATTCTATAGGAGCACTGTTTTGTGAATATTTGAATGTCATTATACCTCGAGTATGTTAAGCAGCTGATAGAAAGATCCCAAAGTCTGCCTGTTACAGGAGGCAGCGCATATTTTTGGTAGAATTTCTAAAACCCTGTAACTTGTGCCCCTATTCAAAATACTGCTCGCAGATTATAGTCTACCTCTCCCATGATTCTAAATGTAAAATAGTCCCAGAGAAGGAGCAGGTAGATACATAGTTGTTTTTTAGAGTTTTCTGGAATCATACTAGTATAAGCCTTGGGTAATAGATATGAGTGATAATCTACAACTCAAAAAACAGTCAAACCTTGACCTCAAGGTCCTTTAGGCTTTTATCCTATTGGAGGGGACTTTAACCTATATGGCTTACCTAGGTTTCATTAAGGGCAAAAACTCTGGAGATTCATAGGTTTTGCTTTGAGGGATGAATATACTTTCCTCCTAATGAGTCTCTGCTGTTCTTGATCAAGCTTCAGTAGTAGTAAAGTACAAGCATCAGTGACCACTGAGCAAGAATTGATTAGTTAGGGAGAACAAACGCTAGGAATGTTACAGTGTTATTTGCTGTAAGGTGAAGTGGTGTTGTACCTTGGAAATACACTAAAGAGGACTGGCTTTAGGGTTACCTCTGTGAAGACCTCTGCTGGTCTCAGAAAAATCAACTCTCTTGGACTTTAGTTTACTATCAATTAATTAGAAACTTGTTATAGATGGTCTGATCACTAAAGTTCCATCTGTCTCAGAGGCTCTAGCATTCCATGGAATGGTTGTGGTACTGTAAATGGGCAGAGCTCTAACCTGAGAAGTTAGGATTTATGTGGACTCTTCCCAGTTTAATTCAGTATTTTTATGGATTTTATTAAATCTTGATTCCTGTACTCTGGCTATTTAATTCTCAAAGAAGTGTTAGATAATACTTATTCTCAAAGATAATAAGACAGTTGGCTCAGTACCCACTATTTATTTATTCTTTAACACCTTTATATTATGAAAAATTTAAAACATACATAAAAAACTGTAGTGAGCCTGTACAAATCCAAGATTCTGCTCAATCAACTTAGCAGCATTTTTATCATCTTGTTTTATGTTGTCCTCTCTTCTTCTCCACTGGAATACATTAAAGCAAACCCAAGACATCATAATTTCAGCCATTTTACTTTAGGATGTATCTGAAAAGTTAAGAAATTCTTTCTGAACGTAGCCATACCACTATTACATTATCTAAGAAAACTATACATAATTTCAATATCTAATACCCATTTTGAATTTATATTTCCTTAGTACACTCAAAAATACCTTTTCCTAACTTTAAGGCATACAATGTTTGTCCTTTAGTGATGCTAACAATCAAATGTTAATTCAGTCTATTCATTATAAAGTTCTCCATTTTGACCTATTAGTTTTAAGACTCCTACTTAGATCCATATTAATGGTGTTCTTTTTTTTTCTACATCACAAATTGGTATTGAACTTCTGCCCTGTGCTTTATCTTGGTATTAGTCCTTTCACATGGTTAATTGCTTAATAAATCTGTCTCCCTTGTTTAGCCAACAAGGTATCCCTCTCAGTGACTTCTTATGAGAAGGCCCAGATTTCCACAAACCCCTGGGAAGTACAGCATTGCCCACAAATATATCTGTGTCATTATGGGAGAATTTATCCCACCAAGTCCACGCTGCTTTATTGTCTGTTCTTGAAGCTAAACATAAAATTTATTCAATTAAGTGGCACCTTCAATGCATAATAGAAAAAGCAGTGTTTTTTATGAATAGCTTTGAGATTTTTTATGAAATTTCTGAGAATCAGTATTGTCTACCAACATGGTCACCAGTCCATAAGAATTTCCTTAGCATTGTTTTATATCATTACAGCTGTGTGGTGGGGAGGCTGTCCAAGATCGCCCAACCCAACTCACTCGTTTTATAGACTAGGGCCTTGGCACCCAAGGTTACATAGCAAGGTAGAGAGAAAGTGAGAATAAAATCTGGTTCTCTTTTGCTGCTTCTCAGTGCTCTTCTCACAATATCTCACTGCCCTTTGTTTTTTCAGATAGTCAAATATTCAATGTTCTGACATTAATAATTGGCAGTCAGCTTTCTGGCACTGTGGAAAATACCCGAGATAAGCAAGTTGGAAGGAGGAGAGGTTTATTTTGGTCTGTGATTTCAGAGGTTTCAGTCCATGCTCACTTACCTCTGTTGCCTTCAGTCCGTCCTGATAAACAGTGCTTGGTCAAGCAGGCTGCCATCTTATGGTAGCTGTGAAGCAGAGAGAAAAGGGGTCGGGGGTCCCAACCCCTTTCAGGGACGTCACCCCAGTGACCTAAGTTCATTCCACTGGGCATCATCTCCTAGAGGTTCTACTGCCTTCCAGTACTACCCAGGCTGGGGACCGAGCCTTTTGTGGGTGGGCCTTTGTGGGATATTTAATATCTAAACCATAACTTCTAGTGAACCATTGCTTCTAGTGAGCTTTGTATCTGGATCTCAAATCACTGTTTTATCTCTCATATTGCTCTATAAATTTTAGTCATTGCCTATATGAATGTATAAATGTTTGTGAATTTCTTGTTTACTTTTGTGTTTTACCTTTCCTATTATAGATGCAGCAGTACTTGGGAAGACCAATTGTGAAAGACTCTTTCTTTAGACCCATACTTACAGTTCCTCAGATGCCTGCAATTTGCCCAGCAGTCATCTCTGCAACTGCCCACCCTCGACCTCCCCTGGTGAGATGCTTTCTTGGTGGAATAGATAGTAACTAGTTCTTTAGCACTAGTCTGGGCTCCTAAATTAATACCTTCTTTTTGATTGTTTTATGTGATTATGATTTTGATGGTGGTGATGATGATAACTGAATGAGAAATGAATATTATCTGTGGAAAAAGTGTTCTCAGGGTATTACATATTACTTACTCCTTTTGTTAACTGATACTGGCTTTTGGGTACAAAAATAGATACATGTTTATGTTAGTGGGTCTTTACAATTAGTTTTCTTATGTAACAGGCAATGATGCAAGGTAGGTCGATATTTTTAATAATTTCTTTTTAGTGTGGTTGTTGAGTAGATTGAAAAGAATTCAAGCCACAGGAAACTAATTATGCTACAAAGCTGAAAAAAAAAATTTATTTACACACAGAGTAGGACACATAGTGTTTCAACTATATGCACAATGTAAATAGAGTCACCTTGGGACATATATCTCAAAGTTATAAATTTTCCTAGCTACAGATAGCCAGACAAGTGTCATCTAAGCCTGAAGAAAGAATAAAGACATTTAAAATAACTAAAATTATTATTTTTAGTTCTCGCTAAGATAAACTTTTTTATTATGAGAAGCTTTATTATGAGACATCTTTTGTGAGAAGGATGTTAGATATAATATATAAAGACAAAAACCTAATGTTGACTTTCTCATAGGTGCATTCTAGGCAGTTCACTGCATGTCACTCTTCTTCAAATACACACTGTATACAGGCAGATGGACTCTGTTTACTCTCATAGAGGCTGCATGTCTATAAACAAATGTTTCTAGGCCTCAACTTCTTAAAAATGTACCACATCTTTTTACCACTATATTGCCATGTTTCCCATGCAATTTGGTTGCCCACCATTTTATAAAATTTCATTGAACACATTGAAATACTTTAGCTTTCTAATAAGATTACTTTCTAATACTGGAGATGAGCTTGAATATACAATTTCTAGGCAATGTTTTGACGCTCTGTCTCATGAGGCTTTGTACAAGTTATTTTAATGACTACTAATAGTTGCCAATTGTCACAACCCATAGAGCCTTAGGTGGTAGATGTTACACATATAATTATGGTAGTATTCAGATTAACATGCTAAAATATTCACTTATTGATATTAATTACTTAGCATCGTAATGGCTTTAAAAAGTAATTGCCATAAACTATGGCAAAAATTACTGTAGTTTCATAGCTCAGATATATCACTTTAACTTCCATGTTATCTGTCTGTAACATTATGAGGCATTTGGCAGAGCAATTTTAGTAGCATTTTTATCTTTAGTTAGTTGTTGAAAATTTAATGTTAATATTTTTCTAATTATAAAAGTATATATGCCAATCATTAAAAAATGCAAATAATATAGAAATATACAAGTTAGAAGAACTGGCCTGTAATTGAATCCCTAGAAGAAACCATTCTTTAAGAATTGTCATGTGGGGCTGGGGATTTAGCTCAGCGGCAAAAGCGCCTGCCTGGCAAGCGCAAGGTCGTGAGTTCGGTTCCCGGTACTGGAGAAAAACCAAAAAAAAAAAAAAAAAAAAAATAGAATTGTCATGTAACTTGCAACAATTTTTTGTATGTATTTATACATATATGCTTAAAATTTTTTGATATTAGATGAGTCATAAGTACTCTACCTATTCTGTCTAAACATTTTTGTGAATATCTCACATACCCAGACAGACGTGGGTGTCTATTTTAATCAATTTGATTAGATACACCATAATTTGTATATGGATGTATTCTCATCCCCTTGCTTATAAAGTTCGGGTTGAGCATTCTCCTACTACAGAAAATACAGCAATAGACACAATTTATGTATTTCTGCATTTGTTTGTAATTGCTGGCATAATTGTATTATGCCATACTTCTACAATAAATTAAAATAGTCACAGAAAATTAAAACTATTGTTGCATTAGTTAAGGAGAGTAAAGAAGGAATGGGCATGTCCATATTGTGCTTCTGCAGTCTACTCATTTTCTGAGGTATGGGAATGTCGTGATGGCATACAATATTGCTTTCTAGTCAAAACTGATGAGTTGCATTTCTCTGTGCCTTCCAGATGACCGGCATAGCCTGGACTCTGCCAACTCCTGTGGGAGAGATGGTCCCTCCCAGTGCAGGTCTGGGAACTGATCTTTCCATGATGAATTGGGAGAGGATTACAGACAAGCTAAAAACTGCTTTTCCACAGCAGACCAGGTACCTTACACATTATAAATCGTATGACACAGGTTCCATTGCAATAACTGTGGCAAAGAAACATTTCAGAGAAGCATAACAATGCAAAAAATTTACAAATATCATTGTGGCCTTGGTAAGGAAAATGGAATTTACCAGGAAGTGATAGTAATCTATAGAAATGCTAAATTTCCTCACTAATATTGTTAGTCTTAAATCATGAGAAAATAACTTTTTAAATTGAGGCATGCCCTTTTACTGAAAGTACAAATAGATTGAATTTATTCAGTTTGTAATGCCATCAGCTACAATACTTTAATAACCTATTTGCAGAGTAAGTTATAAATTGATTGTATGCTACATAAACCTAAAATATCAGGTTTTTGTTTTCTAGTTCCTTTTATTGAGGTTCCTTATAATCTTTTCTTAACACAGTTACATGTAAGAAACCATGAATTAACCATATTTTTCATGATTTGATATTAGATGAGTCATAAGTACTATACATTTTCTAAACATTTTTGTGACCATCTCACATACCCAGACAGATGTGGATGTCTGACTTGGTAGAAAGATACTTAATTTTACTCCAACACAAATGAACCTTTTTTTTAATCTCTACTCTTGCATCCAAGGGAGTAATTCTAATTTTCACTAGTATTTTCATTTGAAGACCAACTCTTTATTAGTCATACTGTTGCTATTAGGATTAGATTGTAATTTTATAAATTTCATAGTAATAAAACAAAAATGAAAAAACAGATCTGTCATGCAGTTATTAGGGATAGCTAGGCAAAGGCTAATGACATGGCACTTGATTTGGTATAGGGAAATAGCTCATCCTTATCTGTCTTATCAAAGATGTAGATGTAGGCTTTAGTTCAGTGGACTTTGAAAATTGAAAAAGAACACATTGATTAAAATAATTGCAGGTGTTTATCATATAATGAAAGTGTCTATTAATTTTTGCTTTGCGGTTTTATTGCGTCTTGTTTTCTGTCTGTGAGTTTTACCCAAAACTATCAACACTGAGAAAGGAGAAACCAATATCAACATCGTTAAAAAAGAAATATGTTCATCTTGCCTTCTGTATCAAATAGGTAAACTCAGTATTTATATAGTGAGCTCTCAAAATAAAAATTAAAATCTCTTTGGGAAAAAGATAAAAATTTAGTTTTATCACTCTTCAACACGTTAAGCATCATCATTAACCTAATTAGGAATTTTCGTTTTGATTTCAGATAATGCAGACAGACCTATGACATTTCTTAGATCAAAGGCCTAGAGCCTCATCTCCTGACGTTACAGACCTGTGTGTGATAGGGCTTTGTGTCTTGTTTGGAGGCTGCACCCTCAAGGCAGCAGGGAAAATCAGTACATCTTTCTCCTGATCTCTTCCAGAAAGGAGCTTACAGATTTCTTACGAAAATTGAAGGAGGCTCATGGGAAGTCTTTATCTGGACTGACATGTGATGAAATTATTTACAAGATTTCCCAATTTATTGATCCCAAGAAATCTCAGGTGAAAACCCAAAATAAAAAACTGTATATCTCTGCTCCTATATCTTAATATTACATGGTTTCGGTTTATCTGTAACATGTTAAGAAATCAATAACCTCTAATCATATTAGCTCATTGATCAACAGGAATAATTCAACAGCTTTAACTTGAAAAATGATATTGAAAGGCTTTTTGAAATACAAACAATAAAAGTGACCCCCCTCCTTATGGCTGAGTAGGAGAAATCTGAGTCATCTGTAGGAAACTGGATGCATCTTAAATCTATAATGCTAAGTGAAATAAAGCAGACACAGGAAGCTAAATACAGCATAATTTCTCTTGTATGAGAGACCACAATATAAATAACTTAAAAGGTCAAATAAAAGACAGATGATAGGAACACAGGAGTAGTCTTTGTGAAAATAGGAAGGAGATCTGATAGTTTGAGGAAAGAGTGGGCAGGGAGGGAAAGGGGAAGTAAAAATGATTACAATGCAATATGTATATGTGCTGATTCCTCTAGATGAATGTGACTAATATGTATTGCAAACATATAACCAACAAATAAATAAAGAAGTAAATTATCTCCTTGAAATTTTCTCTAGGTTATTTTGAATGATTTTAAATGACATTTTTTCTAATTTTCTATAAGTATTTATTTTAATTTAAAAAAACACATGAAGCTGGGTGTGGTGGCGCACGCCTGTAATCCCAGCACTCGGGAGGCTGAGGCAGGAGGATTGTTGTGAGTTTGAAATCAGCCAGGGCTACAAAGTGAGCTCAAGGCCAGCCTGAACTGCATAGCAAGACCCTGTCTCAAAAAAAAAAAGTAAAAAACACATGAAATTCTTTTTGTCTTACCTGGCTCTGACAACTACTGCTAACATTGGTTTCAGGGTATCTCATGGATCTAATTCTTAATTTTTAACTGCAACTTTTTGTTAATTCTTGTAGCACTTCCTTGTGTGCAATTCTATCGGTTCGTACTGTTTTAAAATAATTGTGAATACTAAGTGTAATGTTTTTATTTTCAGAGTCAAGGAAAATCCGTGCCAAATGGTAATTGTGCTTCACCTAGCGGTTCTTCATCCCAGCCCAATGCTCCCCAGTCCCCCAAATCAGCCTGGAGGCCCCTCAGTTCTCAAGGTTCTGCCACATGGGAAGGAGCCAGTAACGTGGTAAAACTGTTGATTGTGAGCACATTTCTATTTAGGAGGGACACAGAGGCCACATTTAACATCTGCAATTTTCCCTAGGACGAAGAGGAAGAAGAGCCTTGTGTGATCTGTCACGAGAATCTGTCTCCAGAAAACCTCTCAGTGTTACCTTGTGCTCACAAATTCCACTCTCAGGTAACTCTTCAAATTTGTCCTGTGAATATTTTATCATGAGTTAGCTAAGTGAGACTTCTTACTACTAATACTACCTTACTTGTAATCATAGACATGCGTCATTATCCAGTGTCGTGTCATAGGTTCCACCGTGTGTACCTCTGTGCTTCACATTCGGGTACCATGCAAGCATGTAAACATTTTCCCTGTATGTGTAGCTGTGACTGTGCTGTAATTGCTTAGATTTGTGTATACCTTACAGGAAAAGGGAACACTGTTGAGATTTAAATGGTACACAGTAGGCAGTTTCCTTTACTAGACCTGGATGAAGTACTGATTGTTTGACATAACATTTTAGTAGCAGAATTAGCTTTGTTCTGCTTTATCTTGACTTGTTATAAATTCTACACAGTGTCCTTTATCTGTACTTCATGATGCCTCCCTCACATTGCAGTGCATAAGACTTATCTTAGTAGTGTGCCCAAGCTCCTGCATTTGCTCAGGCTTGAGTTTTAATGTTAGAAAAATGCAAGGCTGGCATACCTTTATGCTTAGCACTGCGTGGATTAACTCCTAGTGCTGTGGCTGTGTAAGTGCTATAGACAGTACAATGTATGGCCCAGGTCCTTCACAGAGAGACGAAATTTGACACAGGAAATCTTCTTCCACAAGAAATCTCAGGAAAGTGAATATTAGCCAAATCATTTCAAACCATTTTTGTAAGTTATCCTTTCAAAGATGTGATATATCATAAAGAATTATTTATTATATCTGCTTTGATGTGAAAACATACACAAAATGTCTAATCCTAAAAGATCCCCAAGAAAGACAGCAACCTGACTTTCTCATTTGAAGTTTTTAAAGTTTTGACAATTTATAAATATTTAGTAAAACGTTTTCTATTCTTTGTCATTACCCATTGAACAGAGAGCACATGATTCACTCAGGTCATTTTTCAGGGTTAGAGTTAGTGGGCCTCACGTACAATACCTGTTCTCATTGGACCTGGCTTTCTACTTACATACATTAAAATAGTTGGTTTTTTGGAGAGTCAGCACTCAAGCAAATGACTTAGCAAATGGTTCATAATCAAAGATCACTATCATTTTTATTATAGAAGATAGTCTGAGGAGTTTATCATCTACGGGTTTTAACTTCAGAGTACCATAAGCATTTTCTACAAAGTGTTGGTAACTTTTGTATGTTGAGTTCTGAGTTTTTCTGACTTATTAATGAAGGCAATATATAATAAAACAAAACCAGACAGAGACTGTAGCAAATTTCCCCAAATTTCTTGTCAGGAAGAATTACTATACCATCTGAAAACTGGAATTAGGGGGTGAGACTTCATAGAGTAAACTAACAGACGTTGTTCTGCCATTGCCCTCCATATTGCTCAGCACACCACAGAGAAGGTACCATGTTGGCTGGTAACCTTGATAAACAGAGTGACAGCTGCCACTGCTGGCTAAATCTGAGAGACTAACATGAATCTTTTTGCCCCTTAGTGCATTAGGCCATGGTTGATGCAACAAGGGACATGTCCAACCTGTAGGCTCCATGTTCTGCTACCAGAAGAATTCCCTGGTGCCACCAGCCAGCAGTCGCCCAAGGTCTGACACAAAGTGGGTGACTCTGCAAAGGAAGCTCAGTTTGAGACTCCAGAATGTCCTTTTGTATTTTCCTGTGAGCTGGTTGTGTGAGCAGTGTGAAGCAGGGTGCTCTTCAGTGATGTGGTGAAGAAGCGACCTCAGCGCGTCAGAGTGGCAGCCAGAGAAGTCAAGGCAGATCTTCAATACTGTGAATTAAACTGAAGGGGCTTGAGAAGGTGGAATTTTAATAATTACAGCATATTTGCTCTTATTGGGCTTGTTCTTCTGTAGACATAACTACTAATAGATTTCTTATGGTTTTTCCTTCTTTTTCCTCCTTATTCTACTCGTCTTTTTCTTCCTCTCAAGTTTACTACATTTTAGTTTTTTGGAAGAAATTTAGAAGAGAAACTGAACTAGTAGAGAAGTGGGAAAATTGCACAGGTTTTAATGTTCCTTTCATCTTGTAAAACTAGTCCTTAAAATACAGTTAAATTACTTAAATTGTATTTCATCTTCTCTATTCTTTTCTGTCCTCTAAGATATGTACCCATACAGAGATTATGAGTTACTTGGTGGTAGAGACCACCCAGCATTATGTCAGAGCTGGCTTGTAGTAATGGCTCATGAGGGATGATCGGTTAAGGAAATTTGCAGGCCAGTTATCAAATTATTGGTAGCTTGAAATCTGCCATAGTAGGAGTATTTATACCATATAAATTAGTAAAAGCTATAAGGTTTATCTTTCCCTCAAAAGCTAGTTCTTAAACATCTTCCACCATCCTATAAGACATTTACGTTCCCAATATCTTGCACAGTAGGTGCAGAATACATATTCCTAGAATCAGAAATCAGGAGGCAGTGACATGAGAGATGCTTAATATGTAAATTAAGTTATTTGCTGAGGTAAATAATTGAAATTTTATGTTCATTTGTAAACATGTTCTTCAGGCCTTAATGTGCATTTTGGGGAGATTTTTTTTTTTTCTGCTGAAAGTTTCTAATTTCACTTTCTTTTTCTGGAAAAGGAAAAACTGTATGTAGTTGCTTCTTCCAACAGAGTTCGTACAAACTAGGCTGAGTTGTGTATATAAAGCTTGTCACTGAGAACTTCTAATTTTTAGAGGTCAAAAGATTATTTTGAAAACAGTATTGTATAAATGCTGTTCGTATTAAAGTAGTTCCGAGTTACTTAGTGAAAAAATGTTTCTTGGCTCATATTCACTCTCTCAATTTCATTAATTTATGAAAACAATAAATATTTTCTGACTTGGCAAATGTTTTACTTGTATATTTCAGTGTAAATGTATTTTGAAGTTACGTTGTATCTGTATTTAAAACTTCTGTTTCTGTAATTAATTACTAAAGGTTTTTTCCTAAAATAAGCTGGATAATATGAAGGAAAATATCTAAAAAGATGATAGTTACCTAGTATGTAAAATGCCAAGAATGTATCTCAATTCCAGACCTCAGAATTTACAGGATCTTTAGCATGATCACTGTGTCTAGCACATGAAGGTCATAGTCAGTAGCAGGTTACTTTATAAAACTTAGTTTTTGTTTACAACCTCTTAGTTCATCTTTGCAACAGCAGTTTCATTCTCATGTGGAAACAATAAATGTTTCTTAATTCAGTGACTATTTTATCTGTGTATTTCATCTTAAGTATACAGAAACTACTTTAAATCTCTATTTCAAATATCTAGTTCTGTTTAATTGTGCTTAAATATGTTCTTCTTTACTGAGAAAGGGAAGAGAAATGTAAAAGACAGTGTCAAGAAGTCAGTCATGTACCCATAGGAAATGCCAGGGATGTCTTGGAATCATAGAATGCCAAAGTTCTTTGGGTCCTTTCATGATCTTCTGATCTGTCCTCTCGTTTTACAGGTGTGTCTTGGCCTAAGTCATGAAGCTAGTTGGTGGCTCTGCCAAGTCCTGGAACTTGAGCACCATATGCTGTGTCTCATGTGTCTTTCCAGGTTTATCTGTGAGATGGTATTGGTGCAGACCTGCCAGGCTTAGCTCCAAGGAAGGGGCTGAACTTAACACAATAGCGAGTGGTTCGTGAGAATGTCATAGGAGGGTGTGCCTATCTAGTTGTGCAGGTGCGGAAGATAATGGGGTTCCGATTAAGCATGTGGTAAACCCACTGGTCATTTTGTACTAGGAATGTGGTATTGAATATATAAAAACGTGTAATAGTGGTAAGACACAGAGAAAAGGTTTGACTGACTTCCTTTCTGTGATTTGCTTGGAAGAGTTCAAATTAGTGTCTGTCATCTTGACATAATTATGCATAGTTCCTTTTATTAAGTGTCCCAGTTTGGATGATGGATTTTATCTTCTGGTCAGTTTAGGGAAACTAGGGGTTTTTTGTTTTGTTTTGTTTTTACCAGATTCAGATTTAACAAGGTCTCTTAATGCTCTTAAATACAATATCTGTAAGTGTCTCAGGTAAGAGTTCTGAGATTGGATTAGTTTAGGACTAGTTTTTAGCCAGATTAAAAGTAACAAATGAATACTAATTGGTTGTGAAGATATGTGGTTTCTGATTTTCTTAACTAGGAGAATTTCAGTAATTGCATGTGTAGATTAGAAGATACTTCTCAGCAGAACCAATGGTCCAGTATAAGATCCTGGACCACTTCCACAGTTACATGGTGTGTTTATAAAAATGCGTGTTCCATGAGGCCATATGGAAATTTGCCTTAGGAGCCTGTGCCATAAGAATTCTGATGCACATTAAATTTTAGAAACCACTGGTTAAAGTTGCTTTCTCAGGTAGATCTAGTTTTGGGTTTTTGAATTCAATACCTAGCATACTGTGTGATCAGAAAGAAGTTATTTTAACTTTTCTTGGCCTGTTCCTTTCCTGGAAAGTAGAGAAAAAACGACTTGCCTGACAGTACCGTAGTGAACATTTATTATTCTTTCCCAAAGCAGCAAACTTGGGTCAGTCAGCACCAATACAGCACACTTCCCCTGAAGCAGCACGGTGGTAGAGCACTTGCCGCCAGCGGGAGGCCTGGGTTCAGTCCCCCAGCGCTGACCCCTGGTCTCTCCCCTTTAAATTTTCAGACTTTCCATTCGTTTTCCGATCTGTTTAAATTTACTTCTTATTGATAAAAATCCTTGAAAATATTTTTATCTTCAACTTCCCTGATGCAAATCAGAAAGAATAGAATATATAGCCCTAGTCCTACTTGCAGTTTCACAAGGCCCTAGAGTGTGGGGCAGTAAGTTTATTTCAGAAGAATATCACACATACTTTTGATCAATTGATTTGAACCACATGATCTTCAATCATGAGTGTTTCTTGGCAAGGTTGAACACTCATAATGATATCAAATACTGAAGGTTTTGAAGATTTGTAGGACAAGTGTAGCTCTATTTGGGTGGCAGAGCTATTAAAGATGTGCTCTACTCAGATCACATGGTTATTAAGTGGTGATTCTAAACTTCAGTCCTGATGTCAAAATTAGAATATTCTCTCCGTACCACCCTACTGTCTTTTTGAGAAAAAAGATAAAACTGACTACTTGAAAATTCTTAGGTTGTTTCTTTGGGTAAAGACAAAAGCAAAACAAGACTAGAATACTTTTCTCATGAGGAGACCGTATAGCTAGAATAAAGCCAAATTTACAGTATTCTTACATCAAGGTCGATGGTATTTAATGAATATTTTAAAAGGAAAGGCCAGATGTTTTACCCTTTCAACTTAAAACATCACGTTGCTGTTTGTTGAGAACATCTTCCTTCTGAAGGTTGTATCATTTTTAAGACCAGGGACTTTTGTAACCATTTCTGTGATTTCTGTGGCACAGCCATATACCTGCAGTGTACTCTTAATCAGTCTCTCTGTCAGTGTGCTTTTTCAGCTCAGAGAAAATAGCAGCTTGTGTGGGAAACTAGTGTGGGAGCCATTGTTTGTTTTCTTGAAACTCTATTTTATGACAAAGGGAAGGGCTAATTTCAAGACACATTTATAAAGTTCAGCATTATTTTAGTCCATGGAAAACTTTGTTTGCATTTCAAAGGCCTAAGACAAAAGCATCGCCAGCAAAAGATGAAATGTTTCCATTTCAGTTAAGAATAGTAGATAGTTTCAATAAATTATCAATACAGTAACAACGTTACCAGATCACTGTAAAACAAACTTAAAATAGAAGTTTAAAATCATTTATTGCATATACCTGCTAAAGCAAGACTGTCCTGCTATCCTCTCTCTAATTCTGCTGTTAGTCAAGAGTGAACATGCTCTTTGAAATTATGACAGCGTTGGGGATCATTTCATCAGAGTCTGTGAACTTACTGTGCGTGAGTGTTTATGGAATACCTGCTTCTGAGAATGCTGCTTTTGGCTTTGCGTGCACTAGGAAACAAAGCTCATCTTCCCTGACCTAAAGGAGCTGCGTCTAAGTGACAAGCAAGCATCAGAGCTTCTAGAGATATAATTCAAGGCCAAGCGGGTCACAAGTAACACATAACTAGGAGTTTGTTCAGAGCAAGCTGGGACAAGTAGAAGCCCTCACAGAAGATGGGAACATGGAAATGGATCTTTCTGATTCTCAATCATTTTAAGATCCTACCTTAGCCAGGCGTGGTGGCACACATCTGTAATCCCAGCACTCTGGAGGCTGAGGTAGGAGGATCGCCGTGAGTTTGAAGCCAGCCTAGACTACAAAATGAGTTCAAGGCCAGCCTGAACTGCATAGTGAGACCCTGTCTCAAAAAGACACACACACACACACACACACACACACACACACAAAATCCTACCTTACAGTCTTTTCACCTGGAGCATTCATTATATTTGATGTTTCATATTCTCTTTATCCAGTTCTCTCCTCGGATGTCACCTTCCTTGTCATAGGTACTATTTTCCTGTTATCTAAAATTTAGTTGTTTATTTTTTTGTATCATCTTTCTCACATTGTAAGAAACATGTCAACAGGAATCTTATCTGTCTCATTCACCAGTATCTGTTGCCTAAAACACTGGCATCTAATAGGTATTCAGTAAATATTTGTTGAATAAGTGGGCCTTATGATTTAATGAAGCTTATGTAAGAATACAGACTAACCATTTTAGGCATGGGCAGTGACTTGAAGCATGAGTGTCATGAAGAGAATTATTTTCAGCTGCGTGCAGAGGGCCATATAAAATATTTAATAAATACCATTGACATTCATGGGATACTTATGGTGTCTTAAAATTTTAAAACATTTAAAATCTAGAGTTTTGAAGTGATTAAGAAGTTCTAAAAAAGGAAATAAAAATGTGTCTGCAGTTTCCTGCTTCTGTGTTTTGTGAGGAAGCTGGTATCCCAGTAATCCTTTACTTGAGAAAAACCAAAACATAAAACATCTGATAGAACCATCAAAAAATAATTAAGACAAGCGTTTGTTTAGAAGCCAAACTCCATGAAGACTGCAAGTGCCCCAAGAGGAACTCTATACTTAAGGCTGCGTTGTTTCCCTTTTAAAGATATTTGTATATTTAAAGCTCATGGCATAGCTGATGGACAGAAAGCAATGACGTATTACCTAAAGAAGTATTGTGATTACAGAGGCAAAACGTGAGCGGTCATGGCTGGGATGATAATCCAGGATCTAAGATACTGATGTTCCACAGACAAAGAACCAGAGAAGTGAGACTGACATTCCTCATGAATTTTCCCCATGCAGCTGTTGCCAGTCCCTAAACTGTCCATGTGCAAGCCAAGTCAGAAATCAAGCAGGAAAACTTACTAAGGCGGAAACATCTCAGCTGAGATTTGGGCATTATGATTCTGAAGATAAATTCGGAATTCAGGTCTAACAAATGGCAGTCATTCCGTGGAGAACCTGAAATTTCCTGAGCTGAGGACAAACCAGAAGTAGGCGAGCTTACTGAATAAGAGCAAACATCTCCAGAGCAGATAAACACAAGCCAGCATTTTCTACATTTCATAAACAGGATATCTGGTATGGAATAAAAAATGTACTAAGCATGTTAATAAATGGGACTAAAATTACTGAAAACTCACAATAAGGGTTGTTCTAAACAGTGGAGTATTAAAAACTGTAAGTCTGACTAATATTAAAAAACTCATTCTTCAAAAAACTAAAAAATTCAATTACTGTAATACTGATTACAATAGATAGGTTTAAGAGTACATTAGACAGCAGAAGAGGGTTGTGAATAAAAAAATATAGCAGTGGAAAATATTCAGGCTGAAGCCTAGAGAGAAAAATGGAACATGCAAACATATACAAGTGAAAACATTAACATGTATAAGTGGACTCACAAAAGGAAAGAAGCAAAAGAATAGGTCAGAAGTTTTATTTGAACATATACTAAGATGTTTTTCAAATGCCAAGTAGCATGTGAAGAAGCCACTGCTCATCGGCAGCATACCCAAGCACATCATAGAAAAACTGCTAGAAAAAGGAGACATCTTAAGGTGTTCCAGGTGCTAAAGGATCTACAATAAAACTCACAGCTGATTTTTCACAAGGAAAAAGCCAAAAGATAATGTAATTGTGCATTTAAATGCTAAAAGATAACAACTGCCAATTCAGAATTCTGTTTGCAGTCTATCCCTGAAAACCAAGTGTGAATCAGTGCCTCTCAGACAAATATAAATGGAACCCCCGCCCATGGACCCAAATTAAAAAATTCTAGAGAGTTCTTCGGGCAGAAGAACAATGCTCTCAAATTAAGCCTGTTAGTGCAAGAAGAATAAAGAGCACCCAGAAGGAATCAGACAAATAAACCTATATTAACACAGAATATGTAAAGAAGATGTCTTAGAAGGTTTAAAGTAAATGTTAAAATCTATACCCACAATAAAAGATGTATGAGTTAAAAATAAGTTAAAATGCTATAGATTTTTGCATTGCTTAAGTGGTAAGAGTACTTACTAAATAAAGACACCCCCACAAACACTGTCGGGTAACTGCCTGAAATTACTAAAAGAGAACATACTACTGTCATGCTAATAGAAAAAGATAGTGATAAAACTACTTGATTACACCAAAAGAGCCAGGAAATAAAGAGCAACAACACACAAAAAGTAAATATAAAGCACATAGTAAAATGACATTTAAACGCAACTATATTAGTAGTTTTATAAAATAGCAATGAACTGAAATTCCCATTTGAAACACAGAAATTGCCAGCTCAGATTATTAAAAAAAAAAAAAAAAACCCAACCCAACAAGCAGAGAAAACATTGTTTTTTTGTTTTGAAGGGAAATATCTTTAATATACAAATATAGAAATGTTTGAATTAAAAGTATGGAAAAAGTTTTATGTAAACACTAAGGTTGACATAGCTACATTAATGATAAAAGACTAGTTTCAAGGAGGTTGTAATGTTACTCAGTTTGGGCACATATAATAATAGCCCCATTAAAAACTGACAAAAGGAGAACAGATATATCCATAATTATCCCAGGCATATGGAATATGTCACATGCCTGTCACCCACATGTGAGTGATTTCAGGTCCAGTCATTCTAGTTCTTTGGCTGGTCAGTAAACACATGAACTATGATTCGTTCTATTGCTGTCATTTATAACGAAATCAGAGATCTAATCTAATTCTGCACCCCAGTAGCTTCTTCTGTTCAGCCCTAGGAATCTCAATTATGATGGAAATCTGAGGGTATTTAATCTTAGTACTCCAATATCTAAGGCAGATTTTATTTCTCCTAAGTGTATTCGAATTGAGTCACTACTGCCATAGTGTTCTGTATCTGTCATCCACTTATACTCAGTACATGTAAAAGTTGCATTTATACCAACCTAAGTATGGAATATATATACCTTAAATTTGAAATACTTCATTACTAAAAATTCTAATGATTATCTGAGTCTAATTTTCATCTGAGTTCTAATCTTTTTCCTGGTGCAAGGTCCTGCCGCAGTGTTGATGGATACTGAACATGGTCATTCCTCATGATTTGAATACCTGTTCCCATTTCTTAAAATAAGATGACAGTTTTGGAATTTTCTTTACATCTTACATATGATGCGGCCATTCCTTTCTGGAGTTTTTATTTTACAGAAATGAAAGCATATGGCCATAAAATCTTACACAGAAGTATTCATAAAAATACTATTTATCATTTCTAAATTGGATAACCTAACCCCTTTTCTACAAATAAGTGCATAAGCAATAAAAAAGAACATGTAACAATTTGGATGAATCTCAAGTATATTGATTTGAAGTCAGATAAAAATGAGTATATACTATATGGTTGGATTTGTATAAAATTCTAGAAAAGGACAGCTTATCTATGTTAACAGAGAGCAAATCAGTGACTGCCTCAGAACAGAGGGTGGAGAGAGGAGAGAGGGAGGAGTGAGTTATTGCAAAGAAGCACAAAGGATGATTTTGGGATAAGTGAGAAATATGCTCATTATCTTGACTGGTGATAGTTTCATAAGTTACACGTCTGTCAAAATTTATGAAATTATATACTTTAAATATGGGTAGTTTACTGTGCTACTTGTACCTCAAGTTACTTTAAAAAGTGAGCACTGAGCGGAACATGGTAGGGCATACCTGTTATCCCAGCAGTCTGGGGGGCTGGAACCAGAGGGTCCCAAGCTGGAGCACAGCCTGGGCAATTTAGCAACTTTAGCAAGACCTTGTCTCAAAATTAAAAAAAAAGAAAACAGTGAGTTCACTCTTTAATACAGCAAAGAAAAAAATTGAGCACTAAATTCACATAGCAGCCTGGTCACCAAGAGGTTGCAGTATTCAAATGGAGCAAAGATCGAAAAACAAACTCCCACACAGCAGTTGGTTGGATCTAAACACCTGTATTTTTCTACTAATCTAATCTGAAAAAAATCTCAGAGCTTAGATCTTTTTCTAGCATTCTGTTCTGATGATTCATACAGTAAATGACCCTCGAAATGTCAGTCATCCTACATTTATCTATCACTCCTGAACCCATGCTCTTATTTAAAAAATAATTCATACCATCTTCAGCCTCAGTTCTATCATTTTAAAAATATTTAATAATTCTTACCTGATATGGTTGTCTTGAAGGTATATAGAAAAGAATGTAATAAGATAGCTGGTGTACTAGTAAGCATCCCATTACTTCAAAAAATACCAGAAGAAACTAACTTAAAAGTTTATTTAGCTGACAGTTGGGGGAGACTGAGGCATAGAACCTCCACTGGCTCAGTTCTGGTAAGGTGGTGGGTGGTGGCATATCATAGTGGCAGTGCATGCAGGAGCAGAATGAGCAGATCTTCAGTCAAGAAGCAGAAGAAGGAAAGATTGAGATGCCACGATCTCCTTTGGGAACGTGCCCTAAGGATTTCCCATAAGGCCCCACCTCATAAAGATCAATACCATCACCCAGTATAGTTACAATGGGGACCAAACCTTTCAGGGGCCACTCAGCATCTAAGTGATAGCACCTGACATGAAGGAGAAGCACAATAGGCATGATTCTCTTCTTTCTGCTATTGTTTGCACTGTTTGCTTTAAGCCATTGAGTGTGATACTCCTATCATGAGCAGAGACCCCAGCAGAAGCCTCAGGTATAGACTGTAAATGAGGTTCTTAGGTAGTGGGTCTCAGGCTTGACCACTACATATTAGAAACACAGGGGTAGATTGTAAAAGCAAAACACATAAAAATGATGCTTGAGTTCTACCCCTGGAGATTTTGATTTAATTGATAAAATCCCAGCTGGGCACTGGGATATTTAAAATCTTCCCAAGAGATGTTAAAATGGGGCCGGGACAGCTGCTCAGATTTTAACATCCAGTCACCGGGGATCCTGCTAAAATTCAGATTCTGATTCAGCATGTATGGGCTGAGGTCTGAGATTTTGCATTTCTAATACACTCCCACTAATGGTGATATTGTTGGTCCTGCGATGATAACCTTGGGTAGAAAAGGTACTCAAGGTTATCATCCAGGCTGATGAGCTGGTAGCTCCAGCTGATGGTGATATTGTTGGTCCGGGGGTGATAACCTTGGGCAGAAAAGCTAAAAGCAGAGAATATCAGAATCCCATAGAGATATTTTCAAAGCTGAAGATTCCTAGGTATTTTCCTTGAAATATGTCCCATGTCCCCACACTTCTTTATAGACTAGCCAG